GACAGTGAGGACGGGGGGTCGGGGGGGGTCCAGGGTTTCAGGGCGACAGAGGGCCGTGGCCTTCAGAGTACAGCAGGGCCAGAGCCTTCTCAGCACAGGGGTCACGCCGCATGGGTCAGGTAGTGACAGGGAAGGGGTCCCGAGGCCGCAGCTGCGATGGGAGTGAGCGCGCGGCGGCCTCAGAGGACCGATGCCGGGTGAGCAGGAGAGTCCCAGGTGTGGTTCCAGCCCAGCCGGCTGCTGACCACAAGCAGGTGTGGGCTGGGCAGCAGGTCCTTGTGGGTCGGCGTGGACCCCGCCCATGGCCATCTGAGCAGCGCCTCCGGCACTGAGCGCGTGGTCAGCTCCCTGAAGGCCCCTCAGTGCAGCGGCTCCACTGGCACAGAGCAGGGCAGGGGGTGTAGTTCCTTTGGTTAAACCGGAGGTGGGGGGCATAGTGCTGTTAGCACAGAGCCTGGGCCCTTGCGGGGCTCAGGCTGAGGGCCGGCCTGTGAACCAGGAGGTCAGGGTTTGATCCCCAGTCGGGGCACAGGCCCAGGTGGCGGGCTCAATCCCCTGTGTGGGACGTGCAGGAGGCAGCCGGTCAATGATTCTCATCATTGATGTTTCTCCCCCCCCTCCCCCCACTTCCTCTCTCTGAAATAAAAGCATTTTTAAGGCTAAAAATTGAAATAAACCGTGGTACCAAACTACGTTTATTTTAATGAAAAATAAGAACAGAGCCTGGGCCTTCAGGCGCTGTCTTTGGTCCTTGTTTTCACCAGCCTGTCCCTTTGCCTTTAGCTCGGAAGCAGGAGATCATCAAGGTCACGGAGCAGCTGATCGAGGCCATCAACAACGGGGACTTCGAGGCGTACACGTGAGTGCGGGCTGCGTGGCGGGCGGGCGTCCTCCGCGCCCAGTTCATGGGGTAACCCAGGCTCCCGTGTCAGCAGCAGCCTTAGTTCAAGGGGTGAAGGACTCACATGCCCAGAATCAATAGGTGTCGGGGTTTCAGGAGACGGACTTCGGAGAGGCCTGGGGTTCCTCGGGGGGTAGGGGGCAGTCAGCTCCACCCCTACAGGCAAAGACAGGGCAGGAGCACAGAGAGGACATGTGACAGGAGGATGTGAACGGGGAGTGGGCACTGCGGGCTCGCCTTCCCGAGAGGTCACTCCCGATGGTGCGCCAGGGGCTGGGGTTCCAGAGGGGGCGTCGCTGAGACATCGGGCGGCTGCCCCTCGGAGAGGCTCCCTCTGCAGCCCTTCGGTTTGCTTGGGAGCCTGGAGGTGGAAGGAGTGAGTCTCGGCCCTGGGCCTTTCCAGTCCGTTCTCCAGGCGACGGGTCTCCCTGCCAGACCCGGGTCCCGGGGACCAAGGTGTCGCAGGAGGCAGAGGGCATGGCTGAGGGAGGGCGCTCCACGGAGGGGCCCCTGGAAGTGAGAGGCTTTACCGTTTGCACCCGGAGCAGCGGTCTCTCCGTTGTGCGTCCCACGCAGCCCACGTCCTGTGGGGCCTGCCGCTGCGCCATGCAGAGAGCAGTCACCCTTCCTGCCCGTGAGCAAGTCTGGAGGAGACGAGACGGTGCTGCGTGAGAATGACCGTGGTTTCTGACTGGCGTCCAGGTCATTCTACAAGGAGTCATGTGCAGTCCATTCACACAGTCTCTGTGAGCCATTCTAGAAGGTTCCCGAGGTGCTCAGGACACGGAATTCCTAACAGACACCGTGTAAGACACTGGGTACATTCAGGTTTTAGAGACGACCGTGGAGCACCTACTGTGTGCTGGGTGTGGAGCAGATTTCAAAGATACATGTTTGTAACTACCTACCTACTGAGCCGACCCAGGGACCCATTACCACGTCCACGTCACCGCGTATGAGTCAAGTCGTGTGGTTCTTAGCTTTTTAGAGGAGAAGGCGGCGGTTTCCAGGCCTTATGGTTAAGTGGAGTGTCATCGTCACTAAGCCGCCTCCGGGGCCAAAGTAACGGCCATGACGCTCCATGTTAACTAGCAGGTCAACTTGCGAGGGGTCAGGCCGCTGAGAAGCAGCCGCTGGTTGGCGGGAAACCCCGTGAGGCTCCTGTGAAGCACCAGAGCGTGAGGACGGCCCTGAGGTGCCCGTCCTGGGAACTGCTGCTGACGGCCAGGAAGACCGTGA